TTCCTGTATATTCAGCTATGCTAGGGCTGATTAGGGTTGCAAAACACTAAATAATCTATATCTTAGATGGATAAAGGGTGACCCATGAGCTGCATGTGCCCCCCATGTCCTCTTTTGCTGCCCCCCTGGGGTTCTTAGATTTTTTTAATGTTAAAAAGACAGAATCCCAATTTTCCGCTGAAATTTATACAGCTAGACATTGTTTATAAACAGTATTTCCAGTCTTAACTGGAAGAGGAAATATTTAATTATGTCCAGCTCCAAGGTTCTTCCCCTGGTTTCTCTCCCATTGTAACCAGTAAATCAATCAATCCATCCATCTGTTCTTTGTTATTTAAAAAGTCTTTGCAAACTTTACCATTTAAACGGCTCATGCTGTTTCTTCTCACAGGGTAACCAAATGTAAACTGCTTGGTTCTCAAGGTTGAGTGCAATTTATTTTCTAAGGAATTAAATGTAATCTTTATTTAATTTTAATCAGTCTTTAATTAAGTCTCAGTGGGCTTTGAGGGGAAAATGATGATATAATATTTAATAATAACTACTTATGTCTGAGTATAATTTTTAATAGTAATAATTCCATTACTTTCATTTAGTAAAAATAATTTTATAACAGCCAAGAGACTATGTAAAACAAAGCTGGGAACTAATATATTCTTGGGCCCAGAAGAAGACAGGAGCTTAGGGCAAAGTTTATGATGCATGTATATACTGAAAATGAAATTGGGGGAGCAGGGGGGTTAACAAGGCTGGAGTCTCTGACTCCAAAGGGGGGAGGGGTTGGTTTAACTTGAGGGGTTAGTTTTTTTCCTTCTTCTTTCTTTTTTTCCCCTTTCTTTTCCCCTTGTCTCTTATTTGTCTTGCTTTTTTTGTGCAAAATGAAATAAAATAAAATAAAAAAGTAAAAATAATTTTATAATAATAAAATAAATATGTAGTGCGCTCTCTCTCTCTCTCTCTCTCTCTCTCTCTCTCTGTGTGTGTGTGTATAATATGTCTGTAGTACACATTCTCTTCTCTCTGATATAAAATACAACATAGAAGGAAAAAAAGACTAAGCTCTACTCAGCCCCATGCATCTCCTTAGGTAGTGACCTCTTTGGGTAAACAGCCCTTCTATAACTGGCCAACAGGAAATATGGCCCCTGATCCCATGGAAGTCCCCCCCTACTCCTTCTGAGCCTGCACAAATGAACTTCTTATTCCATACAGTCATGTGCCATTATCTGGTGAGATTTATTTTTAATTGCTTAACTCCTGCTTATATCTTTATTTAAAACACCCCTTTTCTCTTAAATCAATGGCTTTTAGGGTACTGCAAAACAACCTATTGCAGTGCGCAGGAGTCGGAGAAGAAAAACATTCAATCTTGAGGAAGAAACTCTGGCACAGAATATTTCATTTTAGAACTACAGAGCTGGGCGGGACCCTATGGATCATCAGGTCCATCCCCTGTCAATGGGGCACAGTGGGGAATTGAACTTCTAGCCTTTGGCTCTGCAGCCAGGTATCTAAACCATTGAGCTATCCAGCAGTTATGTGACATTAAATGTTTTGCAATTTTAATCTATAAATTATTGCATGGCATGATACAGTTTCAGAAAAAACACATAACACTGTCCGTAAGTATGAAACACTGACCAAATGGAACACCAGTTTAGTAAAAGGCCAATGGCTGCCATTTTGGTATCTTGGGAATAAAGTCTTAGGTTCTTCCCTGTCCAAACACTATAGGGAGCTGAATATTCTGTTGAGGTATAGAATAAGAAATTCATTTGTACAGGCTCAGAGGAATGCCCATATTCAGAAACAGAGGTTTAAAGTGAAAGGTCACATACGAGGAGAGCACACATAGTATAGTGGATAGAGTGCAGGACTATGACTCTGGAGACTTGTGTTCAAATCTTTGCTCAGCTATGGAGACTAATTGTGGGGTACCAAAGGCAAACAATTTCTTGAATATCTCTCGCATCTGAAAAGCCCTTATAGGATCGTCCTTGACATCTCATAACAACAACATATATTAACTCTGGAGCACAGGGAAAAGTATGATCATTGTGGAGTCAGTTCTGAAGCCTATTAATCCACAATGAGGTGGCATTTTTCTGATGTGTCAATCTAGAAGGATTGGTTGGAGAAAGTGAAAATGTGTAGCAGCTAATGTTGGTTTCATGCAGAAGAGATAAACTAAAGGAGACTGGAAAGATAAGAGAGAAGAGACTGGAGGTTTGGGAAGAGTAATGACTAAGATGGAGAAAAGGGGAAAGTAACTAGGTCTGGAATTGACTGAGGACCAACCGCAACTGAGAGAGACTGAGGTGGCTCAATGGCCAGCTTGGTGCAAGTATTGCAGAAAAAAATAACTGTTTTGACTATATCAGATAGGCTCTGATTAGGACTAGAAAGGTGTTTTCTTCAAGGCGTTCCTATAATTTAAATACATTGTACACAATGCTATGCAGTAAAAATAAATAAACTACAAGAATGAGCTCCTAAAACCATCATCCCAAGAGCTACAGAAAGACCACTAAAAAGAAGTGTGCTTCTGGAACTTTCCTGAAGATTCTAAGAAAGCAGCCTGATTACGGCCCAAAGAAGTAGGTCACAGTGTTTTGGAGACTCGCCTCTCTAAAGACCCTCTGACTTTTACTCAGTCGCCAGCACAATCACTCTTGGGATAGCAAAAGTTTGTGATGAGAGAAAAAACGATAGTACTGTCACATGGCTTTCTGTATCCAAAAAGTTGTTAACATTTAGCCTTGTTGATTAACATATTCTTAAACCTCTCTGTTTGAGGTCCCGGTGAGGCAAGAGGATTGACCGACTGGCCTTGTTCTCAGAAGTGCTGCTGCTTCGCAATACTCTGCTGATGACAAGCCGCAAATCCATGTCTTGTTTTTGAGCAACCACTACTCGTATCCAAGTCCAGCTTAATTCAGATCTTTGCATTGATTTGTTTATTAGTTACAATCAGATCAAGACAGCTTTGGGCGATGCATTTTTTTATTTTTATTTTTTTAAGCAAGATGATCCTGCTCTCCGTTTCCTCTGCAAGTTCAAACTGGCAAGAAAGAAAACGTGATCCCCAGTTTTACTGTTGAGAAATAGAAGAATTAATGGTGTGAAGATTTGTGTGATCTTACAAGATCTTACCGGAGTTAACTGCTGAAGTTGGGACATACCAAAGCTGAGGCACTTTTTTATTCCAAGAATCCACTTGGAGGATTGGCTGTTTCTTCACATCAAGAAGATGCACAGAAGTTGTTGTTTTCCCCCCTAAAATATTTGTTCTCCAGTTCAGAAGGCTTGGCAGACATTCTCCTCTAAATACCACAGCAGTGAAGTCAGTATAAACAGATAATTATGTATTCTGTTACTACAAAGGGCCAGACAGAGATGTGATTAACTAACCCTGCTTCTGCTTACCCTTCATATAATCAACGGTCCTTCTCAACAGGCCTGAAGCACTTCACTTTCCATGGTGCCCGCCATGGAGCTTCATAACTTTCAATAATTTTACATGACGGTCAGAATTTTGCTAGAGTTGTGCACATTTAAACTGACATTGACAGAAATGTATATACAATATGTATAACTGTTTGCCAGGTTCTGGTCTTTCATTTCCTTATACCCATGTCCATCAAGAAAACTCACGCCCTCTGGTTTGCTTGCTTGTACTCATTAAAGCAGAAAGAACACCTTGCTTGTGTGAAGGAGGTATACATGATGAACAATATTTGGGAAATGTGCATTTTTGCTTGCATGTAGCACATATGTGCAGGCAAGACTCTTCTCTTCAGACTTATTTATTGCTGCTTTGATGAGCAAAGTGATCACAGGCAGAATATGGCTAGGTGCTACCCTCTAAGCATATACCGGAACCCAGTTGCTATAATGCCTGGAGAGGGCTTGTATCTCTTCTGTATGTGCTCCTATGTGCCTGTTTCATCATGTTTCCACATTAGAAAATAAACAAAGAAATACACAGGAAAATTCACATTGTGAATATACATGTTTGCATCTGATGAAGTGTTTATGCCAAATAAAACTTGCTGATCTTTAAGGTGCCCCAGATCCCTTCATTGTTTTGGCTGCAGCTGTTTATTGTTGCTCCCCGAAAACATTTAGAATGTATAGTCTGGAATATTTTCCCTCTCCAAATGTGGGCACCTAAATATATTATCCTACAATGCACATATTTCTAAACAATTTAGCTTCATAGGATTACATTTAAATTTCTTTTGATATGTTTTGGAGCTAAGAACTGCATCACAACATTTGGGAACGTGTCGCACAGCAGCCCAAGAGGTGTGTACCAGGCTGGTTTGAATCTGAATTTGCAAATACTCAAGTTAATCAATTATCTACAGGTTGAGCACACATACAGTGAACTGTATCAAATGTATTTTTACCCATCAGCATGGTTAGAGGGGGGGAAATGTCATTGCTCACTGGATATGAATGATAAGGAAAAAAATCCTCATTGTTCACTTCTGTAACCAGGAACTTGTAACTACTTCAATTAGCTTCAATTTAAAGCAGACAGAAGGTGGTTGTGTTCCCCTTTGCATTCAAACTGCCTGAAACCGAGTGAATTGAGAAGGCAGAATTTCTTCTTTAATTGGCATGTGCCATAGCATGCCATTCTTTGGATTTGCGTAGTTCTAGTTGTCAGTGAAGAAACACGATGACCTCAGTCTTCCAAAACATTCTACTCTAGGCTAGCTGTTCCCATGTGTCTGTTTGCTTTAACTTGTGTATTGCGTTATTCTCTCTTTACCATCTTCTCTTTTTGCCATTTTAGGCTGAGGAAGCTTCTCTCAGCTCCTCAGGGTGCCCGTAAACAGAGGCAAGTGAGTAATTGGGGGGTTGAGTGCCGGTGTCTGTGCATGTGCGCTCATCTCACAAACAAAACTACAAAAGACAGGAGGGAAGGAGGAAGGAAGGGAGAGGGAGAGAGAGAGGAGGAGGAGGAAAGAAAGCCAACAGGTTGTTCTGGATTACATCAACAGTCACACCCTCACGTCTTTATGAGCATAGCAGAACAGGTGTTTGTAATTCATTAGCCAAACCGAGCTCGGCACAGACAGGAATTAAATCTACGCTGCTCTCAAACGTGCTGTTTCTAGCTACTTTCAGTCGCAAATTGGCTGTCCCAGTGCTTCCTTAGGTTCCTTCCGAGACACCATGACTAGCCGCTACAGGGACTTCCGTAGCCTCAGCAGCAGCTCTCTCAATTCACCTGAAGCTACCTATAACAGAAGAAGAGAGCGGTCGTCCTCCCCTTGTTCAAGATTTGAAGCCTGCGGTAGCCCCACCAGGGGTGACGCCAGCAAGAGAAACTTCAGTTCTTCGAGTTTCACAGGGTACAGCCGTCATGCTTATCCAAAAGTTTCTGTTAATAAGCGGCTCTTGACTCCGCTCCACCTGGACATTGATCCTGCCTTCCAGGAGATACGGAACAAGGAGAAAGAGGAGATGAAGACACTCAACAATCAATTTGCTGCCTTAATTGGAAAGGTAAGATAAAGTCTGTCTTTATGTTGACCTAAGACCTCGCTTTGGCCTACTCTGTCATAAGGAAAAGCGGCCGTCTCTAGTGGTAGATTCAGGGCACGCTTTGAGGTTAAGAAGCTCTTAACCTGTTTATTTTATTGCTGTTACTGCTATTATTTCATAGTTTAGATGGTATGCCCTAGGAACCCAAGTGCCCATGGCCAGCCCTGATGTAGGCTTCTGTTATAGGCAGAATCATGGTGATGGAAGAGGCCTGTAAGTTCATTGAGTCCAACCCCCTGCTCAGTGCTGGAATCTGAGTATGTATATCTGACAGACGGCTGTCCAACCTCCTCTTGAATGCCTCGTGCATTGGAGTGTTCATCACCTCCCAAGGTAATTGGTCCTACTGTCAGACATGGAGCCCCCATGTCCAGATGAAATGGGCCACTATATCAGTTGCTAGAGAGCAAGACCAGGAGACACCTGGTTAACCCCTGTGGAAGCAGCAGGCTGGATTAGATTGCTCCTTAATATGACCCAGCAGGACTGTTCTTGTGAAGCACTGGCAGAAGAATCATTTGACATGTTTCCGGTCTTCACATTCAAAGTCATTTGTCCTGTAGTGGGATTGTCAGGTGAGAATCCTTGTATTGCAGCACACGCTGCTACTTCGGATGTTGCATCGGGTCCACAAACAAAGGATGTCTATCACCTGCACGTACTTTGTCGATGCTTCTTATTGCTAAGATCCATTCTATAGCAACTCTTTCTGCCTTGTCAGATCATTCACTAATGTAGAATTCTGGTACTACAGCCGTATTAGCTTTCTGCCCATGACAGCAGCAAAAAAGAAAAAGAAAAAAAAGGTTAAAGTGTGAGATTGGCGGTAAAATTATTCTCAACAAGGGTTGGTGGGCGGATGAAGGTGGGAGGTAACCGACATGTGTTTCTAAATCATGTAGAAATAAATGTGTTGTCCAGTGCAGATGATGGAAGGTATAGCCTTGCGAGTATCTACCTTTTTTTTAAAGGTCTCCATAAAAACGCCCACACTGGCAAGGTATAGAAGGGAAGCACAAGGAAAACAAATATTGACAAGCAAAAGAGATCTAGAATAAAACACAACATTGCAGAGTGGGAGAGAGGAGCGTCACTCATCATTTGCAATTAACATTACAGGCACTGCTAAATACCTGCCAGGGTCATTCAAACGGTCCTAGTACTCATGAGTGGTAAGGGACATAATAACTGAAGAAAGCCTGCATATTCCACTGAGGAAATAGGGATGCAAGGTGACAAAATTCATTTCTGAGGCAGTTCACTAAGTATCTATTCTCTGACTTAAAGGGTATATTTCATGCTACAATTTTATTTCTTTTATTATATTAGTTTAGATGGTATGGCTTTCTAAGGTAAATTCTGAGGATTCTGCAAAGAGTCCTGTTGTAGAAGTTATTATCCATGAATACATCTGTGCCACAAATTATGCTTATCCGTCTGATTTTAAATTGCTGATCTTTCTGTTCCTCAACATTCATATATTTCACAGAATTGCACAGGCTCTAGATGTGGTTCAGTATAAGTCACTCCTCTCTCTATATGAATAATTTTATCTACAGTATGGTTACTGAGAAAAGAAGAGTCAATAACCTAAGTGCAGGAGAACTGAATGTCTGTTATTTTTCTTTTCCCTCCTCATCCCTTTTTCCTTTTGTGCTGTATTTGGTTGCGGGCTCTAGATTCAGTATAAGTCACTCCTCTCTCTATATGAATAATTTTATCTACAGTATGGTTACTGAGAAAAGAAGAGTCAATAACCTAAAGTGCAGGAGAACTGAATGTTATTTTTCTTTTCCCTCCTTATCCCTTTTTCCTTTTGTGCTGTATTTGGTTGCGGTTGTGTGTTGTTTTTTTTTTAAAGATTGTTAAGGCTAAGGGTAGGAACTGTTTTTATTGACCTGTCAACTACTCCTGAAGCTTTGTTGGCTAAAGAATGTAGAAATGCTTGAAGTCAATAACTAAAAAGGTGATGTCTGATGTAACAAAAGTTCAGATTATGGTGGGGCGCCATATTTTCAAATCAACGCCAAGTAAAAAGTTCTAAGCATGTAGTAAAAATACCCTAGCTGGTGTCATTTAGAGTTTTAGGTTGTTCCTCCTGTTTATCATCTATTTTGCTTCATGGAAGGACCTGTTTATTTTGCCCCGGAGAGTGCTTGTAGCACTATGGGGCGGTATATAAGTCCAAAAATAAATAAAATAAATAAATAAAAAGGTGATGTCTGACGTAACTAAAGTTCAGATTATAGTCGGGACCCATATTTTCAAATCAACACCGAGTAAAAAGTTCTAAGCATGTAGTAAAAATACCCTAGCTGGTGTCATTTAGAGTTTTAGGTTGTTCCTCCTGTTTATCATCTATTTTGCTTCATGGAAGGACCTGTTTATTTTGCAAAACATTCAAAAACATGAATGCACTTGCCTCACCTGCAGAAAGTGTGATAACCCAGAATTGTTCTATTTAGTTAGCAATCTGTCCTGAGATATGCATTTCAGCTAATAAAATTGGTAAAACAATACAAATAATATATTTTTTAAAAAAATAAACAAACAGAAGCAATAAATAAAGAACGATTAATCTCATGGGCCATTAAAATATAATCCAATTAAAGAGAAGAGGAGTTGTGATAAAATAAATGCAACTGGACAGCTTTTGACTGATGCTGAAAGGTTGTAAGGGATGTGCCAAGCAAAACTGCCAAAGAAGGTGTTCCGCTATTTGGGTGCCTCCCCTTATACATCTCTCCCTGTTAGCAGCAGCAGTAGTCTGTCTGGTTTTGGAAGGACACCCAATGAAGTGAATCGTTGTTAGGCATGTAGAAGTGGTGTTCTGTTGGATACCTCTCTTTGACCATTAAAGGCCCAGACAAGGACCTTGTAGTGAAATTCGGACATGGACTGACTACTACTACTAGAGAATTATTTAAATGTACATTACCTCACTCTCTTTCATCATCACATTCTCTGTACTATGCACATTACTTCACTCTCTTTCATCATCACATTCTCTGTACTATCCACAGTGGTCGTAATGCTTGGCTATTGATGGCAGTGAGATCTTTTGGCAAGCAGGATGTATGGCTCTATGCAGTCCTGTTCCTGTTGCATTCAGCACTTCATGCAGAGGGAACAGAATGAATCATTTGCACAGATGGGTCCCAAGACCCTTTCAGGTTTTACTAAAGCACATAACCTTTAGAAGTGTGAAGAAGAATGTCACAGCAGCACCGTACAGCTCTCCCTTGTGAGGAAGAAATCTGTGTATTAAAATCCCATAGAGGAGATTGTTTTCAAAATAGAAGTTTGACTACTCAAGGCAGATTCCTGCAAAGCCCTCATGTTCTGTAAACAGATAGTAATCTCCTTAAGGATTGCTTCATTGAAGTGTCTAACGTAGGCACCAAGTGCCAGTCTTAAATGTTAACAAATATATCACTGTGGCACACAAAGGGATTATGTGGAAGCACACTCTCTGTTCCATACATTAAAAGACCAACTAAACAGAATAATCTAGGCTGAACAGAATAATACGGTCTTTCTCAGTATGCTTTTCAACCCATATTGATGAATTGTTGTTGACTGAGTGGAAACTTCTGAAGAACTCCTTAGAAAGATGAGTCCTAAATGGGAACAATCTTCTCTGCCTACCACTAGAGACCTCAGGGTAGAATATAATTCTCTAAGAGTGTCACAGCATGTCGTAAGTAAGGTGTATTCTCAGTTGTTGAGGGCAGTGTAGTAAAATAGGCCCTTTTACTACCCTGCAAGAACAGAACACCTGCTTAATGAAAATCTCTCCTCCTAAATCATGTACAACACGGTGGTTGGACAGATATCCCTTTTCTGTTCTGTTCACTATGAATCACTGAAGAAGAAAGTTTAAAAGTGGTACAACCAATAGTGTATTAAGCTCAGGGTTGGAAATAAGTGATCCACTGACTTTAAATTTCAGGGATGGTGATATATACTATGTGAATAAGTCTGGACCAGATTAACAAGGTCGCTGTTGAGGCAAGTCTTTCCATCATGTCTCTGCAGACATTTGTAGAGAATGTGTACATTGAAAAGAAAGTACGTGCTCAGAAATCTTTTGCCTTCACTCTACTTTGTTCATGGCTGGTACTATCACTGACCACAGGAGAGATGAGGCATACAGCTGGTGCCTTCAGCAGCAGACCTAAGTTCCTTAAAACATGTCATTTGAGGACCTTCAGTACAAGCAGGGCCTCAAGTTATGTGGCCTTTTAAAGTGGATGCTACAGGAGAGATGAGGCATACAGCTGATGCCTTCAGCAGCAGACCTAAGTTCCTTAGAACATGTCATTTGAGGACCTTCAGTACAAGACTTCACCATCTCCTTCCCTGGAAGCTTGTCATGTCATAATTTTGTGGGTCTGTGTATTCTCATTGGGAAAGGAAACACATCAGTTGAACAAGCCAATCACTGAAATCATGGACCATGGACCGCTGTTTCCAGGACTGCGGCAGGACTGTTCTCCCAAAGCAGCCCTCAGGGCTTGGCTGATACATCATGAATGATCAGTCAGATCACATGATGTGTTTCACACATGCTTTTTTGGTCAGCTAGAGTTCCACGTCAAGGGACGTGGTGGCGCTGTGGGCTAAACCGCAGAAGCCTGTGCTGCAGGGTCAGAAGATCCAGCAGTTGTAAGATCGAATCCACGCAACGGAATGGGCACCCGTCGCTTGTCCCAGCTCCCGCCAACCTAGCAGTTCGAAAGCATACTCACACATGCTGGTCAGCTAGAGTTCCAGAATCTCCTAGCTAGCGGCCATGCTGCCTAGGGGATTCTAGCAGTTTTATCCCCAAAACCTAATTTTTCCAAGGTCTGGTTATACTGTTTACATTTCAGAGGCAGTATGCAAATAAGCCTGGATCACTTGTATTACATCTGTCTTTCTTGACTCAGTTCTGTTTGGATTACTAGGTGTCTCACCAA